GACTGAAGTGTCTTTAGGCCATTCCCAAAGGGGGGAACATTAACATCTCGAGTTCTTATGCTCAGTAGAATTGTAATTGTAAATGGGCTGATTCAACAATGCCATGCTCATAACTGTACCTGGATCGCAACAGGGAACTGCTGCTTTTTCTTTCCTAATCCTTACTATTGTCATTTTCCTCTACTTCTTTTGTGTGTTTGCCACTCTCTTGTAACACGCTATTTCCGTGGTGTTTTGATAGTCGAAGCAGACTTTGCGCAATTGAAGCCCGAGAAGTGAGCAGAGTAAGCCTGATTCCCTGTAACGACTCTCCGTTGACATCCACTCCTTGGCGCTCATATGACCTTATGCCGTTGCGAGCGCCGTAAAACCTTACTAAAATTAAACTAAGGAGGTCCTGCCCCACATATTATCTAATACTAATCGTGTTTAATGTGGCGTTGAACCCAAACAATACCCCCTCCTTCCCCCCCCCCAAAAAAAAAAACTAAAATAAAAAACAAAACAAACCATTATTATAAAGCAACACCTCGACTTTAACATCCAACAAAACAGCAACAACAACTACCAAAACAACGGCAACAACAACGACAATAACAACAACAACGACGACCACAACAACAACAACAGCAATAGAACCACCATCACCAACAACAACAACCACATTCTAAAAATCCAAACAAACTAAAACAAAAGAAAACAAAGCAAAAACAAACGAAGAAAAACAGACACACAAAACATACACAACAATCTTATTTCTCGCCGCCTCACTGTCGACCGACTGACTGGACACAGTGGAAACACGGCAAACGGACCTGATAACAAAAGGTCGCTTTTTAGCACAAGGGGGCTATCCCGAAAAATGCTGTTTTGAGAAAATCGAAGGTATATTTTTTGCCCCTTGTTCAGTTTCTTTAAAAGACAAGGAGAGTTTTCTCTATCACCAAACAAATATACACACCAATTAAACCAAACTTCATCTATAGGTAGGGCAATGCCCTCTTTTGGTGTAGATCAAGATTTCTGGAAACCCCCAAAATCTGGGTTAGCCCGCTTGTCCTTAAAAGCGACCAGTTAAAACCCGGCAAACGGAAGTGATATAGCATATTTCCACCAAGCTGACTACTCACTGACGCCGTGGAGATAATAGTCAGGAAAAAGGTGTGTGGTTGGAGGGTGTCACCAGTATTTTCTACTTTTTTTTAATTTCTCGCTGTTATTTCAGTCTGCCCTGTTTTTGTTTATTGGTTGTTTTTAAAAAAATCCCACACAAAATGACCTTTATTGTATCTTCACTCAAACAAAAAACAAACAAACAAAAAATAATAATAAAAATTTCCCCTGACAGCCATTACTTCGGTCATGTGGTTTTAATGACGTAATGTTTATTACCAGAAGCAGATAAAAGAAACATGCCTTTTAAAAATCCAACAAATGAACAAAACACAACAACGAAAAAAACCCACCGCCAAAAACATCAAAAAACAGCAACAACAACAACAAAAATCAACAATAACGAACAATAACACAAAAACAACTGAGCTGGCCTGTACGACTCCAATTTTGCTCTTTAAAACACTTCGCTGGGTTGTCATTCACAACAGAATGCAAACATGATGTTCTGAAGAAAGCGATATATTGCCGTTCTTTTGCTGGGTTTCCGCCCTTATCACCATCTATGATCGTTCTGCGCTCGTATCACGCCGTCTTTTATTTCTTCGACTCCATTCATAAAGAAATAATAACCCTAACGCTTTTTGCCTCTATACATAGGAAATGCAAATCAAGCCTTTTTGTACAGGTTGGGTGGACAAAAGATTTCTTTCATAATTTTTAAGGCTCGATGATCGTACGTGGTGGTTCGTTGTCCAGGGAAAATCTGTTCCAAATTCCCGGCTTTGAGACATGATCTTTTTCATGCTCCGTAGCGGCGTAAATCCCCAGAAAAGAAACGTGTTTCCTTTCCTTTGCAAAGCGCATTATTTACTTTCCAGTGCCACTAAATCCTATAAGCTGAATTTGGTGTTTCAGCAAACTTTTTTTTTTTCGTTTATTTATGTGAAAATATATGCCAGTGTGTTTCTCATGAACTTCAAATCAATAAGAGAACATGTTTGATTTGTATTGCAAAGAGTTTTAGAATGCACCTTCCACCCCCGTCCCCGTCCTTTTTTGCACTCTTACAGAACGTACAATATAGATGGAAAATTGTTGTATTTTAACAAAAGTATGTCTCCATTAGTTCAGTTTAAACTTAAACTGCTTTTTTCCCCCAATTGTTCTATTGATAAAACATATTGTTTTGTTCTCGTGAATACCATGCCACGCCACACCACGCACCGCCACGTCACGCTGCACCACATTACGTCACACCACACCACATTACATCACATCACGCCATGTCATGTCACACCACCCGCACCCCACCACGGCACGTCATACCACGCCATGCTACACCACGTTATACCTCGTCATGTTACGTCACGTCACACCACAACACGCCTCACCACACCTCATCACGTCACGTCACGTCACGCCACGCCACACCAAGCCATGTCACGTCACGTCACGCCAAGCCATGCTATTCCATACGATACCATAATTATTCCACCATGCCATATGGCACCAAACCGTACCGTTCAATGGTGTACAATGCCATCACACTACACAATGCCACGCCGTTCCACGCCGTTCCACGCCACGCCACGCCACGCCACGCCACGCCACGCCACGCCACGCCACGCCACGCCACGCCACGCCATGCCACGCCACACCACGTTACGCCACTCCACAATGCTCTGTATGTACCAGATTACACCATACCTGACGATACCTTTTTTTTCTTTTTTCTTCCTCTCTCTCTCTTAAGCACTTTGCCCAAGTTCCCAACCAGAGAGCTGTCGTTGAGGGCGCGTCTGAGGCGTATTCTTCTCAGGAACCCAACCACACGTAAGTAACATTTACTTTAGAGTAGAACCAATGTGTTACAATTACAGAGTCGCCACTTCCATGTTTAAGGCGTATTGTCTTACAAATTGTAATGATCTTTATTCAGGAGGGAGGAGGTGTCGGGGTGGGGTGGGGAGGGGGGGGGTAGAGCAATGCGAATTAGGGTGCATATAATACATGTATTGTTTTATTATGTATTTGTATGTTCTCATTTCGTAACAATGTGTAGGGGTGTGCGTGTGATAAGTTAGTAGATGTGTGTATGTTTGTGTGTGTGTGTGTGTGTGTGTGTGTGTGTGTGTGTGTGTGTGAGTGTGTGTGTGTGTGTGTGTATGTGCGCGCGCGCGTGTGTGTTTAACATGCATGTGTGTGCACAGGTGTGCGTGTAATGTGTGCGTGTGTGTGAGAATGTGTGTGTGTGTGTGTGTGTGTGTGTGTGTGTGTGTGTGTGTGTGTGTGTGAATATTGTTCGTGCATGCATTTATGTAAAACGCCTACAGCTGTGTTCACGCGGGGGTGGGCTCTATTAAAATGATCTACTTTATTTTTAGTATTATTATTATCATTTCTGTTAGTCACTGGTCTATGTGGATAGAATTTATTATACATGTATATTTAATTTTGGCAACTTGGAAACTCATGTGTCACTTTTCCCATAAAACTACGATTGCTGCAGAGTTGAAAGTTGACAAGTACCCGCAAAAAAGATAGGTCCCCATGACGGAGCCCGATTTTTTTTTAAATTCATTTCCTGAATTTAGAAAAATATATTGACAAAAAGATCCCGTCCTTCTTTGGCCTTTGTGATTATTCCACTGAGAAATGAAACAAATCTGCGTAGCTGTCCTTCACAACGGAAGTGCCGGAGGTGATATTTCGCGAGGCGCATTTTGTTTTGAGAGTATAGATCTAGACCTACTAATTTTTTGCATCTCTCAAGATTTATTGCTTCATTCCAGTAGAGTGCAAATGTAGTACTCCAATGACTTTCAGTTGATGTTAATGCACCGATCATTCCTTTTGTCGAAATGGGGTCCAGCTAGATGGTTGATTCATTCACCCCTGGTGCGTTTACAGCAAAATATCATTTCAGTCAGTCACAGGTCTATGTGGATGGAATTTAAAATTAAACTTTTAGGGGGTTCGAGCATGAGCTCGGTCCGACGTTGTGTCTTTGCGAAAGGCGCTTTACACGAATTTCTTAAATGACTTAACAGTGTTGACAGGGGCGTTAAAGCCATACCATTTCACCATTTTCACTGATAGTATTGATAGAGGCGTCAAACCTGTGTCATTTTTCCCTTTGAAAAGAGCTTTACACATACTCTACCAGAGGCGATGACTTCTGCTTCAACAGTAGGCGCTGAGTTTACTAGAAAGCACAGGAAGATGAAACTGATGAAGCGTGTGTGCGCATGTGATCACATTGTCGAATATTAATTAACCTTATCCGTACGCCCTAGTTGTCGTTTTGTAACCCTGGGTTGTATTCTTCACATTTTAGAATACTTCTAGTACGAAGATCTCTTTGAAACTTTCAGTATTTCTTAAAAAATCATTTTGACAGGCTGCTATGCAAAGTGTAAGGATAGGATTAACGAGTAAATTTTCCTCTTTAGAAAGTGGTGGCACAGAGTTCCCACATCGTATGGATAGGGTTAAAACATTTAAACACGAATACATTGTGTCTTTAATTAGAACACTCTCTATGTGACTGACATACGCACCAACACAAACACACACTTTAATTAAGTAGGAATGTGGGTGGTTGGGTGGTGCTCTGGTGGATGCTCTGGTGTGGTTTACCCCCTTTTTTCCGTCTAACATCTATAAGTCTTACATCTCCCCCTTCTATTCTTCTTTTTTTTGTGTTACTCGCAAATAACCCCAAGCATGGGTCCACGTTCCTGGAGGTGGAAACTGGACAAAGTAGGGGATTGCTGGGTCCAACGAAGTACGGTGTGGCTTTATGCCACTGAGGCGTCACGCTAGCCGTGACGAAGAACCCGGGTCACCCTGAAACGTTGCAGGCTAACGGGGCTTTGGTGAAACCGTGACAGGCCTGGCAAGTCGGCACTGGAGTATTTATTGCTACAGATACAAATAGAAGAAATTGCCGTTCTTACTGCGACACCCAAAAGGGTCATAAGTGGCGGATAAAAGTACAGTAAAGTAAGCAAGTAACACCTCTTAAGTGCGGTGGAAAGTTCATGGAGCAACTTATCGTCAAATATAATTTCCTAAACTATCGAACACACTCCAGCCTTTTCACGATGAATTGTATCAATTTGTCTTAACAGATCAAGATTTTTTAGAAATTCCTTAATAAATACTACCAAAAAAAATCCAAGTAGGTGGTTTCTACAGATTTGAACAGGTTTACAGCTGGGGCAATATCGCATTTAAAAGCAAGACCATCGTTTTCTTTTCTAATCGCGACATTATGCTTATTGAATGCACATTTCGAGCACCTTTAGTGCAAAAAATGTTTTCTCTATAAAATTAATTTCTTGTAACAAGTTTTGCCACTGAACAGTGTGATTTGTGAGCCGTGACGTAGGCCATAAAATATACGTAAGCAAAATGCAAAATGCAAAATAGCCTCAATTATCGTGGGAAAATATGACTAAGTTTACACAAATTGATATAAACTGCTGTGCAAAGTATGGGTAATATTGATTCAACAGTTAAAGAGATATTTGCGACAAGTTGCGCTACTAATGTTTGACCACACTCTAATCTTCGGCACTTATATATAAATATATGTCATGCCTGTTTTGGAAGTGCCGTAAAACTCTTATTAAAATTAAAGCGGGAAGTGTATCAACATGATAACAGACCCGTAGTGATTTAGATAAGAGAAGCCCTCATCCCCCCGAACCCCCACCCATATCGGAAACAGTTACGTAGTAGGGAAATAGTAAAGAAAAAGCACCCTCCAACCACCCGCATGAAATACTGCTTTTGTTCAATGAATGTGCACCTCCACACTCGCAGCATTGAACGGTGTGCAAATGAACCGAATGGACAATTTTACATTCTAGAATCTGGATATAAGTTAAGCATTTAGTTTACAGCAAATTTTCATTTTATTTGAATTTTTCCAACATCCGGACATTTTCTTCCCTTATAGACTCATCCACCTCCTTTTTTAAATTGTCTCTAATACGAGAGAAATTCAAGATGGTCTTTCTTTTTCTCAGGCAGATGCCCTTTGGCCTGTTTTTTTTTGTGTGAGTTAGTTTCACATTGGACTATGATATAGATGACCGTGCTTCAAATTTCACATAGGGATGTCTTGGATTCGGATTTTTTTTTTTTTTTAATGTTCAAGGCTTTCCATCTTCATAACCCTGTTTCTATCCTTCTCCCTCCGAGACCGAACATTGACAACACACTCGATGGAACTCGACAGCAATTGCAGCAAAACTGCACTTATCAGTACATGGCATTGGACTGAAAAGCGAGAGCCCAGCTGTTGCTGGATCGATTACAACAACAACAACAACAACAACAGCAACAACATAACCCTGTTGTATTGGAGATGGACGTTAATGTAGAAGGCCACACCTTTTTAGTGACATTACAGTTTTGAAAGGGGCGTTGAACCCGTCACACTTACCTTTATGTTTGGCTGTTATGGTTCAGGAGGTCAAAATACGATTTTCTCAAACTCCGTGGACGTCACTGTGACTTAACTTATTTCACCGTGATATATTTCATGAAATCGGAATGTCTGAATACACAGTGTCAATAAATGTACTAACACGTTATCCCGAAAACAGCCTAGCATAGCCAGCTTGAAAGCTGAGAAATGATTGGTTTAAAAAAAAAAGCTGAACGTAAATGTCTCGCGCATTATGGTGAAGCCAGTCACTCGTCAAAGTATTGACACTGAAGAAACCAACATTTTTCCACCCGTAAAAATTTTTAAAATTTAATTTCTATTCCTGCCTCACCGCCTTTTATGCCAATATAAATACACTGTAAATATTTCTGTGTAAATTTTACTGAAAAACGTTGGTGAACGGCACAATAAAGAACAAGAACAACAACAACCAAACCAACAACAAAATCCTGCAGTTTCCAAGGACACTAAAACTTTGGAAACCACCAAACTTTGACGGCCATTTCCTCGCTATATTCAGTTTTGACACCTCTCTTACTCACGGTATCCCTACGTCTATTCAAGATATTTTTATTTTTATTTTTACTTTAAAAGCAAGACGAATGAACAAGCTTTAAGATGATACCAGTATTGCCAAAAATTCAACACCTCGTGTGTCACTGAAGAAATAATGGTGAGAGAGCTTTTTCTTTTTCTGGGCCAACAGTTTGGAACACTCTCCCTCATGATTTGAGGAGCGAAATAAAACTTGATACCTTCAAAAGGGGACTCAAAACACATCTATTTAAGAAAATATTTTAATTAATGGACAGTACCTTTGCCTTTTTGTATGAGCATTTTTTCTTGTCTGAAAGAATGTTGCTGTCAAAAAGTGCGCACATGATGAATTTGTATGGTGTTAGTATGAATGCCTTTTTAATCTCCTATGTACGCCTTGGGCCCATGCTGTGGGGAAAAGCGGGATACAAATGCTCTTATTATTATTATTATTATTATTATTATTATTATTATTATTATTATTATTATTATTATTATTATTATAATAATAATAATAATAATTATAATAATAATTATTATTATTATTATTATTATTATTATTATTATTATTATTATTATTATTATTATTATTATAATAATAATAATTATTATTATTATTTAAATTGGCCAGCACCTGATTCCACTGCGTCATGACACAATTGTACCAACTCTCAAATTCGCTTTTAAGTGCAGCTTTTCCCTTTTAAAAAATCAGCAACATTGGACCTAATTTATTAGTTGCATACCACTACAATGCTACGAAAATTAGACCATTGAGCTTCAGGTGAGACGTAAGTCGCGAAATCTAATTATTCCGATAAGCTGCGCGTGGCCT